TAAAATCTATTCATACTTTTTCAAGAGTGAGATGTGCAGTCACTGCAGTCCTCTGTTTCATGCTCTGACACCTTCTCTCCTTCTCTTGAATAATCTAATAATAACTGAAGTTTCCACTCCAAAAATCCATCTGCATTAATCATTTGGTCTGTAGAGATCTCAGCTCAATTATTGTCAGCCTGCATGTCTGCAACTAGGAAATTACATTGAAAGTTACTCCACGGTGATGTCAGAGTGCACGAGTTGAATGGTGAAGGGGTAGCTGGGCTTCTCTGTGTAACAGCAAAGCATCCTCCTCAGGACTCTGCTGAGCTGGTAGGCAGTACTGCTTCTGAGAGGAAAAAGTAAAATTAATGCAGTCAATTTACTTCATGTTTTGCCTTGTCTCAAAAATTATTAAGTCATTAATCTTAGCAATGTCATGGTGTTGTCATTCACTGAATTCAATTAAATAGGAGCTCACCCCTAGAAATCTATGTGTTCTTCACATGCAGTAATACCCTTCTTGACTATAATGGGTTCAGCTCCCCTTGTAGATTTGGTGGAAACTAAAGGAAAGTGGCTAATGAAGATGAAAGAGTGAAGTGCTTCAGTGCACTGCAACTTGTACACACCTAACCCTGATAGCACGGGGCCAAATTCTTCTTATACAGTCATAGGCATTAAAGGGAAATGCAAGTCCACAGGCTTCATTTCAGGGCCCCTAGCTCTTGTGCTCTTCTACTCTCTAATTCCTGTTTGCACTGAGGTAATGCAGAGTTTCTGGACCAAGAGGCCATGGGCTTTCATGCACTAGTGTGCCCAGCTGCTTTCTTCAGAAATCCTGTGCTGGAAAGTGGCTTTGTACCCTTGTGTTGTAGCAACCACTGCTGAAACAGCACAGTATTGTACTGCAGAGGAGTGCTCACCAAAGGAGCTGCGTGCTGGTGGTTTGAAGGAAAACTAGCAGGTCTGAAGAGAAATTGGGAAAAACAACATATGTCAAGAGGTTAATTGAGCTGAAGTTAATTTACACTGCATGAGCAAGCAAAAGTTTCTGTGATGGCAGACAGGAGTGGAATTAACATGGGAATATCAATGAAACTGCAGTACATTAGATCAATAGATCATCAGGGAAAAAACCCCAATAAAAATCTGATTATGTCTAAGGGAGCTGTCAGAACAAAAAGTCACACAGGAGACTAGTTGCTGTTGTCCATAACTGTTGAAATTATGTCTCTGGGAATGCTGCAAAAAATGGCACCCAGACTCTAATGAGGGCAAAGCATTGCTGCTGCCCACTAGGGATGGGAATGCTCAGGGAGAATCTCAGAGTCACCTCTATTTTATACATAAACATGCTGCCAGGAATCCCAGGCTACCATTGACTGGTCTTGGGCCACCTTATGACATGGGCTGCGGATTATTAGCAGTAGTAAATGTTAGTTTGATTCCCTAAGGTTGTATAGCTGGAAGATAACAGGGCAGCACCTAAGGTAATTAATTAGTCTTGCCTGTCAGCAGAGCTAAGCAGCTATAGCAATAGTGATAGCATAATGATATGATGATAGGGCTTCTGGTTTTGGAGCTAGTGTGGATGGGCACCTGTGCTCTACCTGCCATTAGGTAGCAGTTATGCCATCTCACATACACCAAACAGCCTTAACTGAATTGCTTTCGCTATCCTGAATGTACCTCTGACAGACCAAAGTTTGTAGTACTGCAGCTGTAATCTTGGCAGATATCTAAAGACCCACATGTCTTTGGTGTTATGGACAAAGGGATGATGGCAAGTTATGGCCCTGTGAGCAAGAGGTATGACTTCAGAGTTGCAAAGGTAGTGTTGTTGTCACTGATATTGCCTCAGTCCTGTAAGTGATCTATGCATCTTCCTCTCTGTTCGTTTCCTGGCCTCCTAGGCCAGACAGAGGTTATTTTAGAGGGCAAATTAGGTTCTGGTATAGTGCAGTATCAGTTACTCAGTGTATGCTTTGCATATTCAAAGTGTTTCAACAGGTTCTGTAATGACTCAGGGGACTGATTATTATTCATACAGAAAACAGCTGTAGTGGCTTAACTTCTTACAATTCCCCATCATTTGATTAATGACCCTTTCTTGGAGATAACTTCTTCCTCAGAAGAGAATAGGTGCCTGCCTTTACAATACCTCAGCTCACGCCATCTTTCTTAGCACAAGCCAGCCTTCAGCAGATGTATCACCGAATTTTGAATATCAGAAGACAGGCAGGTGTCTTGGCAACAGCTTGCATCAGAGCCCACTGAAGTCTTGACTGACTCAGGACTATCCACCAGGATGCCTTGGCCAAAGTCCTGGAGTCCTGGTGCAGCAAGTGATCAGTGGCTAGTATTCACCAAGAAAACAGTCTCTGAAGTCTTTGCTTTATTAAGAGGGGTGCTTGCCTGCTGAATTACAAGTAAGTTTTAAGAGCATGTGGAGCTAGTATTGCTTAACTTCTGCTTCATGAAGTTGTTAAAGTGAAACTGAAAAGGTCAATGAAAATGCTCACAGACTGCTCCATCCTTTGTATCAACTTCTCTTTTTTTTCCACACAATTGTGGTAATTTCATTACCTTTCTCACTTCTTGTTAGCTATTTATGGGGACTCTTTCAAAGCTGGCAATTCCTGCAAAGTTGTCTTATGGGTTGGTTTGGGGTTTTTTTTTTTGCTATGGGGTATTTCATTGTTTGACAGCTTTTTCTATTTCAGTAATAGGAAAAAAAGTATTTAAAGAGAAAATAGCAGGAGAAAAAGTATGCAAACATCAGGGAACAATTCTGAGACAAGAGTGGAACAAGAAAAAACAAACACTGAATGTAGCTAAAGGGAAGTGCAGCCATAAGTTGCAGTACAAACTGCAGGGAGATAAAAGGAATAGATGATGGTTTGGTGAGGCACAAAAGTGGTCTTTTTTTACATAGATGTGTTTATATGTAGCTCATAATTTTTTTCAAGTAATTGGAAATATTAAGTCCTGTATATTGTTATTCTTATCACAGTACAATTTTTATTGGTTTTTTGCTCTTGTTTTACCATTGAAAAAATATCTCTGACTAGAAGATATCTACTATTTAGATAACTAAATAGGAAAAAAGGTAACAAATGGCCACATCTGAAAAGTGAACATGTGTTTTAGTTTGCATACTTGCACCTTCTCTTGCTCTTCTTATAGGTTCTCAGTCTGCAACGTTTTTACTATCTTGTAAAAATCTGAACAGCTTTTACTATTACTGGAGTCGCCTTTGTGTTCTCTCAGCCTAGGGCAGGAAACATCTTGTATTTGTGTATGTGTAACCATTTTGGTTAGCTGGTTTAGTTTAACAAGGTGCTAACAGTAGCAGGGAGCTAGCTCTGTCGTGCCCCAAGCCCACTAGGATACTTTGGATACTGAAGCCAGTGGTCCATGTTAATTAAAGGATGTCATCCCACCCTAGCATCCTGTGGACAGGCTCCCCCCACACTGCCTTTATCATGGGAAGTGGCTGGTGAGATGGCTGGTGCCCTATTGCCCAGTGGGACCCTATCTGAGGTGAGGAGCTAAGGATGGAGTGAGCAAGTTGGGATGGGAAGGAAGAGGAAGGGAAAATCAACACTGAGCATAGACAGGTCTGGCAAGGGGAACTGGAGCCGAGCTGGGGAGGGAGGGTTGGTCTCACAGGTGAGGCAAAAGTACCAGGAATGACTGAGGCTTGTGAGGACCTAAGGAGAGGGGAAACTGGGACTGAAGAAAGACAGTATCCCAGTCAAAGGTACCATCACAAGGAGAAACCCAAGGAGCAGAAATTGGGATGGGATGGAGTGAGATGGGAAGGAAAGTAGATTTGAGGGAGGGGGGAAGACTGGGCAAGAGAAAGAAGATTGATTTGCTCCAGAAATCAGCAGGTAAAGGCTGAATTAGGCATCAAAGTACAGGAAAATAAAACCTTATGTCAAGGATAAAGCAACCAATAACTGCTCTGAATGTCCATTTCTGTCCTTACAATCATCAAAGCAATCCTATGTCATGCTTGATATGCCACTTACACCAAATTTGGCAATGATGATCACTGATACTGTGGGGTTTTTTCTATTTTTGATGCCTGACTTGAGATGCTGGAGCTCTCCTGGCTGTGGAGGCTGACAATGGACAGTGCTCATGGGTGTGTTTCATGCTCTAAATTTCCAAATATGCCCAAATCCTCACACCCTCATCACTTCAGACAAGGTGCTGAAATTAGTGCTACCTTTTGACCTGGTCCTTTCTATGCCTGTGAAAGGAGGATCAGACAGCCTCCACCCGCTCTCAGCGCTGCTGTGGTGCAGTCACACACAATACAGCAGGTCTCAAGGTGTGAATCAGCCTGTGGGGAGGTGTGTGGCCCATGGGATATACTGCAAGGCCCAGAGCATGGCTACAGAGCTGGAAGCAGTACGGCAGAGGATGTCACATTGTGTTGGACACAGTGCAAAGGACAAGGGGTATTATGGGGCTTGCCAGAAAGGCTGTACTGGGAAAAGCAGCTTGGGATTGTTGGACCAGCATTTGAGATGGGTTCAAAGACTGTAGTGCCTAACTGGCAGACAGGCAGATGAGGAAACACCCAGCTTTCTGAGAAAGGTTTGTATATTGTGCAGAGAGGTAGGTTTCATTTGCAGAAGGCTGCATTTGAAATAGAAAATATTGAATATCTGCCCATCAAGGGATCACAAACTACTATGTCACTGCAGTAGGCTCTATGATAAGAACATTGATGAGGGGAAAGTGTTTTCAGACATGATGCGTTTCTAATGACCAAATTTTTGAGCATATAATTTGGCAACCTTAATAATGCTTTTCAGTGTTGCTTTTCCCTGTAATGAGTGGCATTTGGAAAATGTTCAGCACCTGACTAGGACACAAGCAGAATATATTCAGCCTCACTCAGCAGGACTCTTGAAAATAGTGAGACTTCAGAAAACAACACCTGTGTTAGGCATTCATCAGGTTTGGGCTGAAAGGAGGCTGAAAATGCCAGTATCGCTGAACTCCGTGTTAAATGACCTAATGTTCTAAAGACATTCTTCTTATTAATGGCACTGTAACAGGCTTTATGATTAAGAGTGCTGATGGAAAATGGAGTCCAAAACTGACATCTCTGGAGACAAAGCAAAAGCCAATCTGAAACACTGTCTGATGCAAAAGCAAACAATATGGAGAAGCCAGTCATCGTGACCATGGTACAGTGCAGACAGGGAGAGAAAAACAGTCTCCCACTGCACATCCTGCAGCAGGAATCATGGTGCAACCTCTTTATCAAGCAGGTTCCCAGTCGCCAAGGTGGAGCTTGGTGAGGAATGTCTGAGAAGCCCCAGATTTGTAGGTGAGTGGGGTTATTTATGAGTGCCTCACTGGAGCATGTAGCTGCTGCAGTTGGGAATTTGCCGTTAAGTTTCTTTCTAAGCTCCCATTCCAAGAGTAAGGTTTTCAGTTTTAGTCAGTCATAAAGTGAGAATGATCCACTATCACTTGCTTTGGTTTTGTGGGATATTTTGGGGGTTTTTTTTGCTTTTTTTCCAACCATTTGTATTTATAGTTTGTGAATAACAGGGACAACCAGGGATGCTACTATGCCAAACAAAGCAATCGGAGCACTCTGCTCATCCTTCTAGCCCAGAGGAAAATACATATGGTGGTATTTAGTGAAGAAACAACACAGTCATAATAATGAACTACTTCTTTTTTAAGCAGTGATTGAAGATAACAGGTTCATAAGCACAATAGGTGGGATCAAACACATCAGGCATGCAAACCTAGTAACAGTAATTAAGCTTCTGCTCCTGGGAGGAAAAGTGTGACTAATACAGATGACATGCAAACTTTTTCAAACAATAGCAAATTGTTAAAAGGCCTTTAAGTGGAGTAATAGGGCACAAGAGTGATCCCATCTTTTATTTGTTGCCTGGCAGACCGGATTAAGTTTAATAGATATGAAAGGCTGCAAGCAGCTACATGATCTACGGTTATGTAAGCAGATTTTGACTTCACAGTAACCTGTGTGCTTCCGCAGAGAATAAACAAAAATCAGCTTCAATTCCACTTTGAAAGAAAGGGAAATAACCTGCAAAACCACTGAGGGATGTTTTCCGTATTAGCCCCCTTTGAAATGCAGAAGCCTGGGGCCAGATCCTAAGCTGTTACCAAAAGAGAGATGGCTCCCCTGACCCCAGCTGAACTCCCACTTTTCTAGAAGTTACAGGCCTGGCTCCTAGTTTTGTAGCCTCTGCCTTTTCTTTCAAACCGCCTTTAAAGCTCTAAGCAAAAGCAAAGGCAGTAACCATCCAGCCCCTTTCCTTGCCTTTTTAGGTGCTCCCTTTTAGTATGAGGAGTGTGATGTACAAACAGTGAAGGTCAAAGACATTAATTTCTCTTTTCAAAAGTCAGTGGAAAGCTGCTGGTGGCCGATGTGAGGTCTGGTGTCAGGAAGCTCCACCATCTCAAAAGCTGGGGCACAGGGGAATATTCTATTTTGGAATGGCGTATTTTTAGTGAGGCTGAGTCAGAGCTCTTGAAAAAAAACTGAGATGGAAAAGTGGAAAGATGTTCCTGTATGAGTTTCTAACACATTTGGCTCCCCTGCTACAGATGTATGACTGCCTAGACTGGCACTTGCATTTGAACGATGCCTGCAAGTTGCATCCAGCAGCAGAAGCTGGCCTGCTGGAGAACGGTGTCAAAATTGAGTGCACTGCCCCTCTATAAATTACCAGGTAAGCTCTTTGTTTCCTGAGGGCAAATTTTCCCTCTGCAGGTTCATCAGGAAAACCTCCCCTGTTTATGCTGACATTCAAAGGCATCAAGCTAGAAAGACCCAGGCTTCCTCCATGACAATTTAAATTTCTTAGAAAGAGAAAACCAAGAGACTGTTTCAATCTCAAATGCTTCTGACTCACATATTCTGTATTCAGTGCACCGGCTGTCAGTATACAAACAGCTATTCCATGGAGTCACATCAGAGAGAGATTTGACTGTTCCCATTTTCTTGGCTAATTTCTAATAAAACATCCTGAATCCATGAACCACAGAACTTCTGACTGATGTGCACAGAATAGTTTGCCTTGGTGCCATAAAGAAACAAAAATAAATTACTGAACCACTAAATTAGCACTTTAGCTCTTAGCTAAATGAGTAAACACAATTCTTGATGAACAGGGGAACTTCAACATCTTGTCCCAGCTGCTGCAACAACCACCAACACCTGCAATGTCGTCTTGCCTACTTTCTATAGCAGGGGCCCACTCCATGACCTAGCTAGGGAAAGTCTCCCAGTAGAAACAAAAGCACAACTGACAAATAAACAAAGGCCTGCTCCCTCCTGAACAGCCTTGGAGAGGAGAGGGGAAGCTGGTGACAGGCTCAGTGCTGTCATGAGTGAGCATAATGTAAATACCTCGACAGGCAGAATCTGAGATTTTGACAGATGTAACATAGCTGCAAAGCAAGTAATAACCAAGTGCTAAACCCCCGCAGCGAGGGCACAGCCCATCTCTGCTGGCATTCTCTTTATCTCCTCTCCCCCATCCCTTCTTTGTATTTTTTAGCTCTTTCTTCCACCTCTTTCCCCCTTTCTTCCTTTTGTGCTTTTTATCCCCCCCTTCTCCCCTCTTGGGATCTGGCAGTTTGGGCCCTGCGATTCTTCACAGTTCATTGGTTTTGCTTTGCAGGGCTTCATTCCTCCGCGTCAAACAAAGATTGTGAGGAGGTGAGCAGAGGCTATAGAAAGGAGGTTACATCAGGCATGTTGTAGACAGTGCTGAAATGTGTTTGTAACCTTGCCAGCTGGATGGACAGCCTCTGCCCAGGGGGGACTCTTGAAAGCAGATTCAAAGTCATGCATACAAGGGGGTGGGGAGGGGAGGGAAACAGAGAGGTGGGATGTCAAATTTCCATATATTTCCATGAGCTTACTGTCATTTCTCCCTAGCATGTCACTAGCAGAATATTACAAGGCTTTCCTGCACTAGTCCTGCCTATTAAAAGCATACCCTGACCTAGATGCTTCATTTCCCCCAGAAAACAAATGCATATTGTGGAAAGAGCGTAGATGCTGCCTGGAGCTTGTAGAAAACATTCCTTGTCATGGTTTGCTTGTTTGTGCTTGTTGCAGTTGCTGTTCTAAGCCATTCAAAGCAATTAAGCAACTATAAACAGGGATATCCTTGTCACCCTTTGAGTGTATCGAGGATTTGATTCAACATCACCCAAGTACAAAGGTGCCTTGTGCAAACAGTCAGATACTCATCACGTTGACAAGCCTTACAGGTGTTACAGTCTGCATCACTGAAGTACCTGCAGCCACAGCCCTGGGTGGAAATCCACAGTGCCAAGCTCCATCCAGAGGGCCTTGACTGAGGAGCTTACATTGTGAACATGTCTGAGCAAGTGGCATCATTAAAAATAGCAAATAAGAGCATTCAACACTTTATAAAAGGGGCTTACAGCAAGGGCTAGTCCCTGAAACTTTCCTCCTCTCAAAGCCTCAGGGAAGAAGAAACCTCACAGATAGATACCTCATCCCAAATAGGGTTTATCGTGGACACAGCACGCAGCTCAAGCCCAGCCCTCCATCCTGCCACCACCAACACACCATCGTCAGCTCTGCTCCATTGAAAACCAGAGGGATAGCTCTGTCCAGGGAGCCTTGAAGATGGGGTTCTCAAAGCAGGGTTACTTTAAACATGCATTTTTCCGTGTTTCAAAATGTGCATAGCAACCAAATCCTGAGTGGACAATGGACTACTTTGTAGCCTGCACTAAAGGCTGAGGGATGCCATGCCTGATCCACCAGCTGAGGCTTGTAAGGGACAGATAAAAATCTGCTCTTCCTCCTGCTGAATCCATGACACAGTTCTTGCAGGAAGGACAGGTCTCCTCCATCCCCAAAATCCAGTGTCATCAGCATTCCTGTCACTGCAGTGACTCACAGCTCCTTCACTGGCCTGTCAGGATGGAGATTAGGGAACTAGTTTTTCTAATTCTCATGCCCCAGAACAATATAAGGTATGTCCTAAATCACACCCACCAACCTTAGACCTTACAGGCTCTTATGTTGACTGAGCCTTAATCAGTTATGACACCCAGAGGGAGATGGTTTAACTGGTTAGTTGAAGTGCTCCCTGCACTTGGAAAGACTCAGCCAGACTCTCAGCCACCAAATGCTGCCCTTAGCTAGAGAGATGCGTCGGGAAAACCCAGCCTCACAATGCTCATGTACAAACAGGACAAGACATTTTTAGAGGAATTCATGGCTTAGAAAGATTTTAACAGTTTTTAAGTATCCAAAAATAGTATTATATCATGTCTGTCTATTATCCACTTTAAAATCAAGCCCTAGTCCCTTAATTTAGCTACTTACAAAAGCTAAACTACTTTTGAGATAATAATTTTTCCTATACTTTGTCTTATGCAAGTGACAGCTCTATGGGAGTGCATGTATGTGTGTTTAGTTTAGCCAAAGTCAGACAATTCTTTATTTAGAGGGAAATAAATAATTCCTTTCCTCCACACTCCATTGTCTACCTTCCTGCTCCTACCACTGCTCCCTGCTCCAGCAGCTGAAGGCCAGGAAACTTCCACAGAGCTCACAGAATCCTCACAAACTAACAAGATGAACTCAAGGACAACAGGTTTGGTGGCTTGAGAGGAGTCAGCTGGGCCTCCAGCCCATGGCACCGCAGACTCCAGTGTGCTCTGGCATGCAGCAAGCTGCTTAGCTGTTAGACCACTTCAAGGAGCTTAAAATAGGACCTTCCTGGGGAAGCAAAGGCAGTGGTTGAGAGAGAGCAAGAGCACAAGGATTTGTCCCACAGTGTTAGAATGAGCCAGGTTTGCTCTTACACACAGTGGATTTCCATTGTTTTTCTAAAGGCATTTCTTCTCTCCTTGGCACTCTGTAAAACAAGGAGTATCAGGCCCCTCAAATGCCTTCAGATGCTGCTGAGACATTTGTCACCAAACCTTAAAGCTGTTGTTTAATCACTTCACTCACAGCCAGATTCCTCCTTTTGCTTATAGAAATATCTGCAGTCTGGTATGTGTTTTCAGGCAAGATCAAGCTGTTTTCCAGAAAAAAAGGTCTTTTCAAATCTGCAGTCATGTCTTACTTGAACTCCAGCTGGGCTCCTTTGTGAGTGCAACTTGTCATCATTTACAATACAGCATCTCTTTCTGTAGCCGTTGTTTTATTGTTCATGTGTGAAGCTGACTCTGAGCTTCTGGTATCTTGTGCCCACATCACCTCTCTGTAGGAAGTGCTGGGAAATGAGGGCCGCCACCATGCCATGCTTGGTCTGGTATAATGCAGGAAATACATATAGATGTTATCTTACATTACATTATGTTATAGGCAGAGCGCTGCAGCCATCTGCAGAGCTACATTCAGCAACTGTATGATGCCATGCATGATAGATGACTGGTTTACTCAAATATCTGGTGAACACTTGACAGTCTAAGATAAGTTACTGTCTAACCACTGCTCCCCACCCCCATTCGTTGCTTTTATGCCAGTAATGAATAACGGTAACATTCCAGGGAATTACCATTTTTGAGACATTTTACTTCACAGCTCAACGTTGTCCGATTTTGCAAGTTAAATGATCAGCCCAGGGTCTCTCTCTACCTACAGTCACAAATGTGACACACCTCATTTTTTTTTTCCTTTTTTGTTTCTTTTGCTTTTTTTCCCTCTTGCCACTTAAAATAAGAGCATTCAATCAAAATAACTGCCTAGGAAAGGTTAAGTTAAGAAACTTTCAAGGGTGGTTTAAATGATCCTTTTTTTCCCCTTACTTCACCTTACCGCAGTGGGTGTCAAGCGTAGAAGTAGACTATCACATTAATACTTAGAATAAATGCTGTCTGGGAAATGACAGCTCTTTCTAGGAGGGCTCATGTGTGAACAGAGTGTTCAGACTAAGCACATGTAGACATGATAGCCTAAGTACATCCCAGTATGAATATAGCAGTGTTGGCAACCAATCTAGAGTTTAGGGGCTCTGCACAGCCCGTTTTTACTGAACACAGAAATAGTTTGCAGGAAACTATTTGGTCACTTATCTGCTATTGCCCTGTTTGGCTGCATGCACAAGGGGGAATCATAGAATAGTTAGGGGCGGAAAGGACCTTAAGGTAATCTAGTTCCAACCTCCCTGCACACCAAGCCATGTCACCTAAGGCTCTGTCCAACCTGGCAAATATAAACCAGGAATAAACCAGGAGAAAAAAATCAGAATACAAACCAGTTAGGTATCAATGCAGTAACAGAATGTGTAGGATGATTGGTAACAGTACCTAATTTCAGAGCTCAAAGATAGCATAATCTGTTAATTTATTTATGGCTGCTCTCCAGCAATAGTCAGAAGTGTGGCTGGATGGAAAAGAATATAATAGAAAGAAATCTACGGACTTTACTCTAAGTTTGGCAGTGTCAGCCGACAAAAGGGACCCAGCAGAGGAGGCCACGGCCAGGTTAGCTGCACAGTGCCAGAGCAGGGCTGTCCAGCACCCAGTCACTGCTGCTTGCCACTGCCTGCACTGGTCTGCTCAGTCAGGGGTGACAATGTGGAGAGCAACATCTGACGTCCACCAGCAGAACCATACCTCACAGTAGAGGATTTCCCCCTCCTCCCACCCTCAAATTTCAGTGAATCCTGCTTAAAAAAAAAAAAAAAAGATTCTATCAATTTGTTCTTAGGTGCATGTGATGTGTGCAGAAAAACTGATCACTGGAGAGGCAAACTAGATGGGTTACACAGCTCCAGAGCTGGAAGACCTCAGCTCTTACTGAAATCACTGGGATTTAGGCACCTGTTTTCCTTGGAGTTGCTGAAATGAAGTACATCCCACATCTCCTGCAGTTAAAAGAATTCCAGAACAGGAACAGGGGTAGAAAGCTTTATTTCTAAAACAAACAACATACCCCACTAAAAAACTCATATCACATTCAGTGGCTGTTCCACAAATACTCTCAGCAGCTGTTGCAGTGTCTTGGTTGGATTCCTCGCACCTAAGTTCAGTCTTCCCAAACAAGTCTTCCCTCCAGTCTGAATTTGATCCCTTGGCCTCCCCTGCAGCTAGGCAGCTCCTCCAGATGATGATTCAGAACTCCAAAAATTGCCCCTTAAGGCGTTTCTGTGCTTCTGTAGTTGAATTTAAACAATCAACTGTTTTATAAAGTCCTACTTTGAGAAAACATCCTTTAACCCATTAAAGATCACTGTATTCTGTTACATGGATCACGAGACACACAGAAACCTAGATGTAAAATAAAACATCTTTTACTGTGTTTACTTTTGAGATTTCAACTGATCCTGTAAGTCTGAAGCTGTAAACCAGCCGGGAGCTGTCTGGGGATGGGCCCTGAGAGCAGGATGCTGAGCTCCCAAGAACTCCCAGGGACCCCACAATAGAAATTCATCAATGGCTTTGGCCTCATTTCTGTCTCCAAGATGTGGCAGGGCAGGACACTTTTATTCCAGTAATGTTCCTTTTAAATTGAGGGTGACAAAACCTGAGGTATCACCCTAGCTAGAGCAGCAGCCTTCAGCATCACAGTAAATAGGCCTTTCCTGGGCACAGGGGAGAAAAGGGAATTGTTCTCTGGAGCCCATGACAGCCTCCCCATGCTGCAGAAACAGCTCTGGGGCAGCCATCAGAGCTCACACAGCTTCCTGGGAGGCTGTAAAGAAATGCAGGCACTTCCCCCAAGATGAAGTCCTCAGCACTGCAGCTCTGTCACATCAGCAGGCTCTACTTAACAGCAGCTCATCCCTCCAGGTGAAATACAGGTCGTCCCAAAAGTGTACACTCCTTAAACTCTGGGTAAAAAGCAGTATCCAGAACATGCAGAACTGAATCCTTAGCTACTCAAAGACACTGGAATTAAATGGGTTTTAAGACAAGCACCAAAACTTCTGATAAAGTGGTAAACCGAGCTATTAACCTGGGCTGCTACTGCTGTCCTCTTTCTAGAAGGTTTGGGGTGGTTTTCTGGGAGATTTTTGGATTTTTTTTTTCCTTTAATTCCTTGTTCATGGTGGTGGGGATATTTCTGCTCATTCAGGCCACCTGAAGGAGGTAATTTAATTTGCCAGTGGGGTAACCAAATATATACTTAACCTAATGACTTGCAAGCATTGGAGTCTCCATCAGTGGTGAGCACTCATCAGGTGTGGCTAATGATGAGGTTACCTCTGCAAGGGCCTTTTGGCCACACAACCCAGAGCAGAAAAGGTCAGTCTTGCTGAGCAGTGACATGGGTCCTGTTTGCCTTTGCATGGCTGATGGTGGAGGTGTGTCTGCTGTAGATCTTGAGAGCAACAGAAGCAGTGTTTTGGATTGAGCTTTGTAGACGTCTGCTAAAAGTATCTGGTGAGTGTTGATTTCTACCTGTTTATCCACTTGTGAAACATCTTGGATACAATTCACAGAAAAGAGCATGGCATGAGCTGGCTGCTGAAAATATCCATGTCCTTTTTTTAATTGTATCTGAGCATCCCTTTATCTGCCTGATTGCCAATGTCCTTTGAAAAGTATTGCTTTTGGAGGAGGGAATTGTATCTTTGCATGTTGAAGCTCTGATGCTCTGATATTAGAAGTTTGCAGTAGAATTAAATCTGAGAGTCGTATTTCCTGGTCAAGCTTTTCTCAACCCTGCTAAGGTCTGGGCACCTATCCCTTTCGCTTGAAGGGACTGGTCCCAGCGATGGACCAGTGGACCAGGAAATGGGTCTGTGGGAAGAGCTGTTCTTGCTTTGTCCTGAGGTGACATCATCTTCTGAAAAGAGAATTGCTCCTTTTGAAGTGTGTTTTAACCTCAGCTTTTAGATCACCTTCATGTGAACACTGTGTCCTTCTTGTATGTGATGCTTCCCTTTCTTCCAACCCCATTTCCTACAACCTTCTCAGCTGGTGCTGCTTCCAGAAACCAGCTTTGTACCTGTTGGTGAGAAGGCATTTTGATCTATTTCTCAAAAGGCGAAACTGCCCCCTCATGCCTGGGGATCTGCCCAC